GTCCTGACCCGGGCCGGCCAGGCAGCGGGTGCACGACGCATGCACGGCTCTGCCCCTAGGCGCACGGCGCATGCGCGGGACCGCCCCCGGCACGCTGCGCACCTTACAGCTGCCATTGGGCACGTGGCGCCTGACGGCAGCTCTAAGGGGCACTGCGCGGCCCCCGGTCCTGGGCACGTGGCGCCTGACGGCAGCTCTAAGGGGCACTGCGCGGCCCCCGGTCCTGGGCACGTGGCGCCTGACGGCAGCTCTAAGGGGCACTGCGCGGCCCCCGGTCCTGGGCACGTGGCGCCTGACGGCAGCTCTAAGGGGCACTGCGCGGCCCCCGGTCCTGGGCACGTGGCGCCTGACGGCAGCTCTAAGGGGCACTGCGCGGCCCCCGGTCCTGGGCACGTGGCGCCTGACGGCAGCTCTAAGGGGCACTGCGCGGCCCCCGGTCCTGGGCACGTGGCGCCTGACGGCAGCTCTAAGGGGCACTGCGCGGCCCCCGGTCCTGGGCACGTGGCGCCTGACGGCAGCTCTAAGGGGCACTGCGCGGCCCCCGGTCCTGGGCACGTGGCGCCTGACGGCAGCTCTAAGGGGCACTGCGCGGCCCCCGGTCCTGGGCACGTGGCGCCTGACGGCAGCTCTAAGGGGCACTGCGCGGCCCCCGGTCCTGGGCACGTGGCGCCTGACGGCAGCTCTAAGGGGCACTGCGCGGCCCCCGGTCCTGGGCACGTGGCGCCTGACGGCAGCTCTAAGGGGCACTGCGCGGCCCCCGGTCCTGGGCACGTGGCGCCTGACGGCAGCTCTAAGGGGCACTGCGCGGCCCCCGGTCCTGGGCACGTGGCGCCTGACGGCAGCTCTAAGGGGCACTGCGCGGCCCCCGGTCCTGGGCACGTGGCGCCTGACGGCAGCTCTAAGGGGCACTGCGCGGCCCCCGGTCCTGGGCACGTGGCGCCTGACGGCAGCTCTAAGGGGCACTGCGCGGCCCCCGGTCCTGGGCACGTGGCGCCTGACGGCAGCTCTAAGGGGCACTGCGCGGCCCCCGGTCCTGGGCACGTGGCGCCTGACGGCAGCTCTAAGGGGCACCGTGCGGCCATAGGTTGGCGCCCCAGGCAGCTGCCCAGCTAGCCCCCCTCTTAATCCAGCCCTGGTCCTGACTGCCCCCAGTGGCCAATGCAGCCTCCAGAGGGACAGAACAAAACAGGGAATCAAGTGATCCCTCCTCTGTCATCTGTTTCCAGCCTCTGACACTCAGGGTACAGGGACACCATTTCTACCTATCCTGGCTAACAGCCATCAATGGACTTGTCCCCCATGAATTTATCTTGCTCTTTTTTTAACCCTGTTAAAGTCCTGGTCTTCACAACATCCACTGGCAAGGAGTTCCACAGGTTGATTGATTCCCAGGGGCACAGCGCTGTTAACACAGAAACCAGGAACCGTTAGTACCTTTCCTCTCAGGGAGAAGGGGTTCTGGGCCCATTCCTCTGCTCTATACCCCCTCTCTCATCCTAAAACCAGCAGATATTGACTCATCCCCTTCCCCTCTC